AGGGATTCGTGTTGGGCGAAAGTTGGCCAGAAACGTGGCTCGCTGACAGACCATCATCCCAAACCAGCAACCAGTTTCCCCCTCCCTTACTTCTCTTCACTTTTCTATTCTACACCCAGGGGTGGAAAACCAACCCCCTCTAGTGCCCCGGCCCTTTCTATATATTCCTCCAGAACATCGGGCCACCGCCATTCCACCCTCTCGTACCTGTAACATCAATTAAAATTCCCGCGGTCGATGAGCCGCTGTTTCGTGCGATCGTCCGCCGTTTTTAATTGGATTAGAGCGAGACGGCTACACGCAGCATCGGCGTAGGGTGGGACGAACGACGAGTCGAGGGTGCCAGGTTACACAGGAAGGGGTTGCCTCGGATATTCGAACGTGGCAAAACGGGGCAGGGCAAAAGGGACGGGGAAAGGCGCAGGTAAATGACAGAGACAATCTACTCGTATATATACACAGTCCACTGCGCTCTCCCTACTCTCGTTTCGCGATATTCGCGTTTCGTGACGGAGGGAGGTGGGGGAGTATCGATTCGTCGAGTTTTCGTTAGAAAGGAAAAGCTCGAGGAAATTAGCGAACGACAGTGTTTGGGTTTGATTGGCAGTGGGTGATTGTTTTGGAAAGGTAGGTGGATGGTTTCGGTGTGATTGGAGTGAATTGGAAGCGTTTGAAGAAGGAACTGTGTAATGTTCTTCTTAAATAATATTTAAAGAAGTTTGTAATTCTTCGGAATTGTTGGTTGGTACATTTGAGAATTGTCTTGGAAAGGTTTGCGAAAGCTCGTGGGTATTGTCTGTCTTATTGGTACGAATTGGGGAAGTGTTTGAAGAAGTTAGAAGAAGGAACTACATAGAGTTCTTCTTAAATATTATTTAGAAAAGTTTGTACTTCTTCAGACTTGTTGTTTGGTACATTTGAGGTGAGGAATTGTCTTGGAAAGCTTTGCGAAAGCTCGTGGGAATTGTCTGTCTTATTGGTACGAATTGGGGAAGTGTTTGAAGAAGTTCGAAGAAGGAACTACATAGAGTTCTTCTTAAATATTATTTAGAAAAATTTGTACTTCTTCAGACATGTTGTTTGCTACATTTGAGGTGAGGAATTGTCTTGGAAAGGTTTGCGAAAGCTTGTGGAAACTTTTAGTCTGATTGGTGCAAATTGAAGATCTGTTTGAAGAAGTTTGACGAAGGAACTGTGTAACGTTCTTCTTAAATAATATTAAGAAAAGTTTGTACTTCTTTGGAGTTACTGTTTGGTACATTTGAGGTGGGGAATTGTATTGCAAAGGGTTGTGAAAGATTCCTGAAAATAATTAGTACGAATTGAGGAAGTGTTTGCAGAAGTTTGAAGAACGATCTGTGTAACGTTCTTAAATAACATTAAGAAAAGTTTGTATTTCTTCAGAATTATTGTCTGGTGCATATGAGAAGGGGAATAGTATTGCAAAGGTGTATCAAAGGTCGTGTAAATGGTTAGTCCCGTTAGTACAACTTGAGGGAGTGTTTGAGGACGTTTGAAGAAGGAACTGTGCAGAACTCCTTTCGAGTATTATTTAGAAAACGATATCCTTCTCCATTATTATTTTTTGGCGCATACAAGGTGGGGAATCTCTTTGTAAAAGCATATGACAGCTCCTAGAAATTATTAATCCGATTAGTACGAATCGAAGGAAACATTTGAGGAAGTTCGAAGGTGGAACGGTGCAGAACTCTTTTCGTATATGTTTAACAGCAATTGGCGAGCTTACCGCCTAGCGAAACTATTTCCAATAGAATGGCTAACGAGAAAGAGACATTAAAAAGTCAACTTCATCATCGGTCACGCAGGCCTCAATTTTATCTAGCGGTCATAAATTACTCAATTGCCGTCCTCCGCTTTCTTCTTCGAAAGAAACGTGGCCGACCTCGAGCGGCGTAAATCACATTTATCGTTGGTGAAACAGAAGAAATAGGCTAAACCCATTAATTAAGAGACGCGAGTTTAAAATGTTGCACTCTGTTTCTGCACCGTGAACGCAAATATTTATGCAACAACATTGCGGTGAAGTAGCAAATATTTTCGGGCTTCCTAGCGAGATTCTTTCTTTTCTCTCTTTTCTTCGTTCTTCTCTTCTTCTTCTTTTTTCGCGCGTGTTTTCACCAAGGAACGCTTTCGGGAACGATTAACTATTTTCCTGGTGTCTTTTCGGGCGAACTTTCGGAGGACTGTCGGAATAAATCATCGGGCGTGAGCGTGCAAAGTGCCGGGGGCGGCTCGTGCATCGTATCTGCATTCGCGCCACGCGGCATTAATTATGTATTCAATAAATTTTAAACGCATCGAAATGAATTCAAATTGCAGATTAATATTAAACGGCGTTGGCTAATTGGCCGGGCAATTATGCGGTGTTAATTAAACATTAGGAGCGAAGTCTCGCGACATAAGCACGGGCTCGCCATCTGGTGAAAGCTCGCGGACGAAGCTTCTTTGCAGATTCAGTGCCATCTGAAAGAGGGATTCGATGGTTTTGCCAGGATTTTCGGGGTAAACGTTTGTATAGAATGTCTGCTTTATCGTTCAACAGTTATCGTTCCTTCTTGGAGATGAATTTTTCGGTGGATGCTCGGTGTGTTGTGTGAGCCGCTCTGAAATGAAACTGACGAACTTCGTGAAATGAACAGTAGAGAAAGGTGATGATTTTTTAAACATTTTCTTGCTGAATTCATCGTGAAATTTAGGAATAAATAAATATCATTGGAGTTGATCGATTTGGTCACTGAAAATATGGGAATTGCATAGAAGATTAATGTGACAAACGGCAGGTAATGAAATTGAGAAATTTAGTAAAAGTGGAGTTGATCGATTTGGCTCTTGGAAAGCTTATATGTTGCAATATAGCGAAGCAAACATTTAGTAAATCTGAAAGTAGGAAAAATTCTAAGAACTAGTACGTTTTACAATTCAAAAAGACATTTGAAGCACTAAATTTCTAATTTATTTTCACAAAGTGAAGATCAATACTTTGAATATTAGAATAAACGAAAATAAATATTATCTATTAATTATATGAAAATTTGGAATAAATTTTCTCTCCAGTGTCTCAGAAATATTAAAAGGGTGAAAAGGAGAAGTATAATAGATAAGTTACAAGAAAATTGAAGAATTAAATTTACAGCAAATAAGGAATGCAATCTCCGGTAATTTGAAATGAATCATAAAGGCAAGATTTCTCACATGTTTATTCAGTAGAACGGGTGGGTAAGGAAATGAGTCGTTTAAAAAAGAAACGTTTTATTACATTTACCTACGATCTGTATACGTTAATATACGCAAGTCGCAAAGTTACATACACAACAACGTATAATCCGATTCGAGGGTGGAACTTTCGGGTTCTTCGAGATGTTAAAATATTCTCAACCCTTATATGGTACACCCGAGCGGGAAATAGGAAGAGAGTTTAAGTCACGAATTCAGTATTTATGTGTGTGTGTGTGTCTGTGTGTGTGGGTTAAAAACATTTTTTTCTTCTTGATATGTCCAAGATTGGCGAACGTAATGAAAGACTTTGCCATAGACGTGCAGCAAGGTGTTTCGAAGGAAAAATTATCCGATAATTCGTACACAGTGAAGTTGGTGAAATTACATAGTAACATCGTTCGATAATAGTGTTTAACAGTAAGAAAAAATTTGTACTCTAAATCCATTTATTATTACCATACATAATAATATTATTGTGCTTCGAGTCGATGATCTGTTGTTTCATTTCCTTTTTTTCTTTTTTTTTTTCGATATTTCTCTCTATGGTAAAATCTTTTCCACGATTCGTCAAACGGCTGATCGAAATTCTCTCACTCTCCCTCTCTCTCGTAACTCACGGCAATTCCCTCATTCCCGAAAATGGTTAGACGAGTTTACGCCCGATTGAGTATTCGTGACTATACGACACGACCACCGAGTATATGTTACAGCATATCGACTACATTAATATTCCTCTTCGACTTATAGCTCCATTCGACTGATTATGCAGCTTGATAACGCGATTACGTGATTAGTTGAGGTTTTTTTTTTCTTTTTTTAATTTAACTTTGAGTCGCCAGCCTCCCTGTCTGTTGATCCACTTTTCCTACGTAAATTCACGGGTGTCTGTTGGATTTTTATGTTTGTCGAGTAACACACGAATGAAAGATGGAAATTTAACGATATCGATATAACGTATCTCTTCGAGTTTATTGAAATTTATTTCTCGTAGAATGAGATAATTAATCGTGTGGATCAACCGACGGTTTATTTGCAACTCTGCCATTTTCTTCGTGTATCGACACCGAACGAAAAAAATGAATCGACTAGCTCTTATAAACAGCAAGGAGGAGATATCACGGCTTCACATGTAAGAGGTATAAATTCTCCGGTAAAATTGAGCCTATATTTTAAATTCTTTTAAGATACGTTACCTATGTCGCTTAACGCTACGCCTAGTTTATGCACGCTACCACGAATCCTGTGTTTTGTCCTTATTTTATCGATTAACATGTCGGTTCGTATAATGACTATGTGACACGTCGCTTGGGTAGTTACGAAACGTTAAAAAATTCGTTTCGACATCTTCTTTCATATACAGAAGGATATCAGTCAACCTTATTATCAGTGATTTATATACAAGTTCGTTTTATTTCATCATACTCATCGCATCCTGTAATGAGTCTACACCGTATTCACAGAAGAATTCATCCGTTTCCGGTTTCTACTTCGAAATCACAGAGAATTATATTATTCACTGCAGATATCACCTTCTCGTAAGATAACTTCATCCGTCGATATCTACTGTACCAACGATAGATACGATAGACACGTGTACGTCTATTGGCAACGTAGTTTCTTTCACGGTTAGTGATAAGTTTTATGTGCATCCTCCGATGAATCAGGTCACACGCCACTCGTTAGTTTTCGTTTTTCAAGGTTCACGATTAGAGTGGCGTCTCCTCCTCTTGCAGTTACCTGGGAGTCGGAGGAGGTGGTGGTGGTCATACGGCGCTTCCAGTGTAAAATCCTGCCTTACCGGCTAAGCCTGGAGCTCGTTTCCTCTTTTCACACTCCATGGTACTGAACGTGTTCTGGGCAATCTGTGATTTCCTCTTCGGGTTCTGTAGCGTCATACTTCTCTGACTCGAGTTCGAACTCGAACTTGTCCCTGGTTCGGATACCCTTAAAATTCCTGAGTGTATCGTCCCGAAATTTTGGTAGATATATTGGGACTGAATAGCCGAGACAGAGGTGTTCTGATTCTTCAAGGTGATGGGCACGGTTTGCCCTGCTAAACTATTGTAACGAGTGTCGTAACCGAAAGGTGTGTCCAGTAAGGATTCGTTCTTCTCTCCGTACCCACTGAGCCTGGAATCCAAGAGACCTTCCTTTTCGATGAAGCCACTCAATCTCGAGTCCACCACACTTTGTTCCGTAGTTCTCGGAGAAAATTCGGTGTACCGTGGCTCTTGACCAACAGGGTGTTCTTTATTCTCCGTGAAAGCGATCATATTTTGTCGAGAGTCGGACAAAATTCTCGAGTCGATTAAACCTTCCTTATCGGCGAAGCCGCTGAGTCTCGAGTCGATAACGCTGGCCTCTGACTTATCGCCAAACGTGTATCTCGGATCCACGTCTTTTGCGTCTGGATACGCCGGTAAAACGTGAGACAGATCTGATTTATCGACGTAGCTGATGGCTTGCGGGTTGGAAGCACAGATATCAGGCGCAGATTTGCATAAGAGAGACGTGTCTTCTTCGGCAACTCTCTGAGATGCTGGAAAATTTATGAATTTATCGTTAGTTATTTTGTTACACAGAGTGACCGGTTAAACGATAAGAGAATAGCGTTACTTTTTGAGGATTGACCGAATACTCGAGCTTGCGGAGGTCCAGGCGACTTCTGGTGAGCTCTGACTAGGTACTCTGAACTCAGACCCCTTTGTTCTCTCAATTTTCTTTCCGCACCAGGTACCATCACTCTCACCTGAAAGAATAAAAGCAACGTTACTGTATCAGGAAATTGTGGTAGTTTAAATATTTCTGTCTAAACGAAAAGAAATCCTTCGCTCTGTGTCCTTTTCGTTTAATTATCGATCGTACCATTTCTTCCACTGTCGAAAAACGTGCCATATATCCAGACATGGTCAGAACAGCCGCCACTTCCGCCAGAATCAAAGCCAACCCTGACAGCTCAAGACACCAGCCGTATTGATACTGTGGCAGACCATTGTCATCGGCTTGCATGCTAGACGTAGAAGGCAGACTGTATTTTCTCGGCACCTCAAGCGATGCATCTGATAAAGCAGACGCTAGGACTATCAGACCACCGCCTAACGAGAGTCCTGTAACACAAATGAAATTATTACTTGGCTTACTTCCTAATGTCTGCGATATTTATGGTTTTCCGACAAAGTCGCTTCGACAATCGTGATTTATCTCTTGCTACAGTTTCACCGCCGAAATTTAGTCGTAGTTAGCGAACTAGATAATTCTGAGAACTCGTGAAGTTTCGTCGCTGATAATCTTCGTCCTGATCAGTGAATGTTTCGAAGATCTTTATTTCTTTTTGCTAGAAGTTGCTATTTCTTCGAGTATATCCTGATTTTTCTTAGCGAATCAGATAAAAAATTGAGGAACGATGTGAAATTGTTAGCAAGTCAACTTGCGAAAGTTCACTCTTTCTTTTATTGTAGTTCGATCGGTCGTATTTCTTTAAGCCAGCGCTATTGCGTTCTCGTAAATACGCTAGCTTACAGAGGTAATGCGAGACGAATGGTATCATTAAAACTGATCGTTCCATAAAGCTTGTCACGTTTTCTGCCTGCTTAACTACGCCTTTCGGGTGAATTAACTGCGTCACCGACGGTAATTAAGATCTAAGTAGAATATCTTGGATTACTCTCCAGGAGGAATAGGACGAGAGAGAGAGACGATTAATAAAATGTTACACCTTCGTTTGCTTCAAAGCAAGACTTATCTATCTGAAAAGGTTGAACTCGTTAAATATTGAAGAGCTAGCCTCGGTAATATCGCGGACTAATAAATTGCAGGACAGAAAAATCTATCAGGCAAGTGGGTCTGTTTTATTCAGTTCTGAGGATAATTGCACCTTCCATTCGTGTAATGAAATGAAACTCTATAAACTCTGGACCAAGTTCGTTCGTCCTCATTTTCCTGCATTTCCAATCGCTATAATTTCTTCCTGCCCTTTGAATTCGTTCACATTTTCAAGTTTTTCCCAATTTTGAACGAATATTGCAAAAAGTATACATTTAACAATTTACGTTTCTACAATAAAATAATCCAAATACTTTTATAACGGTGTTCTATGTAGTAAATCTCGAAACATCGCAGATTAAACATTGGTACCCTTTTACTCAGTATTAGTAATCTTTTACAAAGTATTTCCTCGTTGAATTTTCCAAAAAAAAAAAGAAAGAAAAATAGAGAAACAAATGACATTCTGTCGAAGAAAGAAGCTCGTGTATTTAAAATCTATATGTATATCGTGCACATGTGTGCACTATAGCAGCGAAAAGGATTAATCCTATTTTATTAGATAACAGGTTTAATTTCATTTCAGTAGATAACAGTGTATAACACTCGACAATGCTTCCTCCTATCTAAACGTTAAAAATAAAATTCTCGCCCCAGCGAGAATATATCTCCGGTTTTCACCGGCAGCAGAATCGAAACAGCGTATAGCCTATCTACTATGTGTCCTTGGAGCGCGTAAAACGCGCCGCATAAAAATTTGCATACGCGTAAAACGAACGAGCGGAGCTCTGGCTGTCGTCTCCTGGTCGATTCAATTCCAGTCGCATCAGCCACCGGCGGCGGGACATTGTTATGACGGGCTAAGCCGGCCCGTTATTGCATTCTTAACGACAGATAGTTGGTCCACGTCACGGCGACCTGGATTACCGTTGAAACGCGCTACACACCGGTCTCTTCTTTTCCCTTTTTTCCAGTCCGTTTTTGAAAGACTTTCTCAGCTTGTCTCCTGTGCTTGTTTCACCGCTGTTTCGCGCAGACACGACGTTGTTAAGTCGTTTTAAAAAATAATCCTCTTCCTCGTTTCATTTTTCTTCAGTTTGTTCCCTTTTTTTCGGAACTTCCTCCGCTTATTGCGTTCGTTGTATTGTTTCGCGGAGGTTCGACGAGCTTTGGCGATTCGGTGAAGAATTTTGTTATTGCGTTATCGCGTGTTATTGTCGAAATGTCGATGTGGAATTTTTATTAAATATTTTCGAGGAGAATTTGTTTGTGAAATTGTTTGAGAGAAGAATTGTATAGTTCGCAAAAATATATATACCGTCATTGCGAATATTAGGCATTCTTTCTTCTTAGAAACTGAAATCAAGTTTTCAAGGTTTCAATTTTTGTATTTTAGTGTTTTCAGTATTTTAATTTTTATGCAATTATAGGCTGTATGTATAATATTTCTTTTCCTAAAATTTCGTAGAGCCTTTCGTGACTGTGAAGACAAAAAGATTCTTCCTATTTCTCGATGGAAAATATTATTCATTGCTTTTCCAGCTATTCAGCAAATTCACCTGTCATTCTTAAAACGCATCGCCGTTTCCGACGGCCAGATACAAACATTCAAGCCGCTCCGTATCACAGTTTAATGAGATTTATATTTGCATTGAAATTGTCCGATTAATATAACACAAATGTGACGCAATTTACGAAAATTCCCGGAACAAGAATTGATAATTCGAAATTTGTAGCGATCCCTTTTATCCCCGTCCTTTTCCTCTATTTTTTTTTACTACAAACGAGCAATTACCGGTTGCACGAACGGCAATAGATTACAGGTTCGTTTTGGTGCAGGTGATTAATTTCAATAATTGATTGCTACTTCAGCTTGTTAAATTACAGCCGACATAAAAAGCATCCATATTTCATTGGAGCATCTCCGTTGAACGCTGCAAATGTGTCTGGCGAATTTAAATTTCAATTAACGCTGCCATACGTTTTACAATCGGACGTACGTCGCTTGGCGAGGAACGGAGGGGGGAGATGGAGGAAGAGGGACAAAGTTTATGCTTCGTTTCGATTCGAGGCACGTATCAGCGTTCTCTGTGCATGAAAGTGGCGTGAAATTTGGAAATAAATAGCAATCTGTATTGGCTAATCGAGCGGATTATTTATTGCCACGGATCGACGAGATCTCTGCGAGGAGTGTGTTTGGTAGGAGAGCTTGAACTTGTAATTGTGTAGAAATGCATCGTCTTTGAAAATTTGTGAATTTCTTTAGACAACTTTGCAAATTTTAAGAATTGAATTCCGAGGCCTGCAATTCTTCTGATATTTTAAAATTCACTGATATTGAAACTAAGAAAATTATTAGAAATACCTCTGAATATTCTGTGTTAAAATATAAATTTCATTCGATAAGTTTGAAAATTCTAGGAGTCGATATAATAATTTTCAAGACTGAATTTCAAGGCCTGCAATTCTTCTGATATTTTAAAATTCACTAATGCTGAAACTAAGGAAATTATTAGAAATACCTCTGAAAATTCTGTGTTAAAATATAAATTTCATTCGATAAGTTTGCAAACTCTAGGAGTCGATATAATAATTTTCCTGTGGTCTTTTTTCTGATTTCTTGTTTCTGTGAGAATTTTTTTCCTTTGGAAGAAGCGAACGAATTTCTGCAGAAATTCGAACGCAGGTGGAACGATCTGTCCTGAGACACGTGATCCAGCATTTCACACGTATTTTACCGTGGCTGGAACAAAAACCTGGCCCCGTATCGACGAATCGAATTTCTATACGCGGAGAGGTTTAATTAGCACGCGGCTTGTCAGCCTCGCGTTTCCTCATTCACCGATTTCATTTGCAAGTATACCAGGCCAAACGCTGTTTATCAATTAGCCCTAGTTAGCTGGAGCGACCTAATTTCACGCGTCTTCAGAAAGAAGAGCCGACAGATGCGAAATAATTATGCGGAGAAAGAACGTGGGACAAGTGAAGGCTCGTTAAGGAGACGTGAAAGGGATCTTTGTTAAATTTCTGTTCAATTTCAGAATGCACTTTGCGTATCAAATACAATTATACTTGAATTTCATAAGCCAGAAATTAAGTAGGAGTTGGACATCGCGAGACACTACAGCGAATGAAGCATTTGAAACTAGCTCCTACAACTTTAATATATTGTTAATATTTTCACATTAAAAAAATTGAATATTACAGCCTAAGGTGAGATTGAGTTAATGAAAAAATTACGAATACCATAGTGATCATACTTTCTTAGCAAAAAATTCTAAAAGAACGTCAGTTTTTAGGCCTCTCCACGTATCTCCTTTTAGAACATAGTTAATTTTTCACTAAATTTGATTATCAGAAGAATAAAACAGTGGTATTGAATAATTGCTATTATATTTTATATACTGATATCCAAACCGTGAATTATTATCTTTAAAAAGCCAATATATTACCATAAGGATGTAATATAAATCGTTAAACTATTTTTCGAAACTTAAAATTTTTCAATTTTCACAATAAACTAAAAATTTAATTATTGTTACCATTTACAGTGTTAAAACTAGTTAGGAATGTTATAGAATTTAATATTGTCCCAAATAAATCACTTATGTATCACAAAATACCGTCAAACATACCATTAAAACGTATTAAAATTACAAGAAATTCCAGAGGCCGCCATTCAGAGCTCGTTCGCAATTATGGCATTTCAATTAGCTCGTTAGACGCGGAGAACCTTCCTCTGCAAAACGCAATTCGCCTCAGCTCGATATCTCTTCCCGTTCCCGAGATATCGTCGTTTAAAGCGAACCGTAATTTTTACTATTTCGGTATCTCTGTCCTTCTCGCTCTATCGCTACCTCTCACTCGCACGCCAGTCACTCACAGTAGTAGTTTTTCTACTATTACTATCACTGTTACTATGAAGCGTACGCACTTCCAGGAAAAAATGTAGGTCACGACGTTTCGCCCGCCATTCATAATCCTTGCATTTTAATCGGCGAACTTTAAATCGTTGTATCTCGGGAACTAATTGACGTATCGACGTGAAACGAAGCTTGTTGTAAACTGCACGTCATTCTCTATCATCTGAGATGCGTATTTACACGATTATCTCGCTTTTTCTAATTTTCACTGTTGATAGTAAAATTAATTAACGGCAACATTAATTAATTCGGAATATTAACAAATTGGAAAATAAAAATAGTGGTTGGAATAACGGTAAATTCATAGAAAATATTTCTGAGAATGCTAAATTGTGTGCAAAAGTTACGGAAAATATTAACACAAGCACTAGGGAATTGAAGATTTTCCACAAATGATTTTTAACCGGAATATTTATTTTTTG